AGTACTGGGCCACTTTTAGGCCTCTAATTAAAGGCCTGACATTTTGTAGTTAATTTTCCCTTGGGAGAATTTACTGATACAAGTGATCCTAGGTTTAGTATTTTCTTTCTTTTTTAAAGTTAATCTTGGTTATTGATACTAAAGTATAGATCCTGGTTTAGTGTATGCTCTGCTTGGCTTGGTGATTCTCTCTTTCTGTTAAGTGTGTATTAGATAATGTCTATTAAATAAAGTTAATCTTGGGTTAAATTCTGTATGTTATGGAATATATGTTGGTGTTACATAGTTAATTTGACTCTCATACTTTGACTGCGTGGGCCTAATGAAGTAGGAGAGAGATGGTTATTCAAAAAAACAAGGGTTCAATTTTAGCAGTCCCTTCTAGGTCTGATAGTTTTCTGATTCACACCCCTGGAATGCTATTGGAAGGGAGAATTTAGGGACTGAATTATTAACCAGATTTCACATTTAGCTCTATATCTTTGGTTCTGGTTTTTTTTCATTTTACTTATGTGTAGAGGTAGCCCAATCTCAGGTTATTTTGCCATACAAATACACTTTATTTTTTCCAAGTACTTTTACTTTGTTGTTGGGTAATACCCTTTGAAATGTTTCTTAGAAATCTGCTACTCTTGGGAATTATGGCATCATGGGTCTCTAGGGTTTTAATTGGCCATATTGTTTGGTAAAGAAAACCACCCAAGGGGTTTCATTAATAATGACAACCACAACAGCAAAACAATGTCAACACTCACCCTGTCTTTTCTAACTAGAGCCTCACAACTACCTGGATCAGATATTGTGATTCCTGTTTTATAGAGGAGTACTCTAAGTCTCAAAGAGGTTGAGTAACTCTAACTTGTCTAAAGTCATATATCTTCCTAGAGTACACTTGGGGGTAGAAGATGATCAAATTACAAGGGAATCTGTAAATCTAACTTGTAGTTCCCACTGGGTGATGGTGTACTCTCTGGGTGATTTTTATTAGTAGTTGTTAAGTATAATTATAGCTCAGAGTTTAGCAGAGAAAATCTTTAAACATGATTATCTTCCCATATTTTTAGAGTGATCAGTCATATTATGGGGAGAGGGGTGCAAATGGGCAGAATCTTGCCAGTGTTGTGCGTATGTTCCAATTGTGTCCTTGTGGTTCTACTTGTGTAAAACTTTTGGTGGTCGAGAATTGATTCAGGGGACTGTGTAATGGCATCACAAAGACTATTCTTGGCACCCTTTGTCTCAGTCTTTTAGGGCAGAGTGGGGAAACTTGTTTCTTCTTCCTTTTAAAGAAGAGAAATGAAAAATACACTTGACTGGCACTTCCTCCTTTGTGTCAGGCCTGTCTGACTTCACTTTGGGTTCGCTCCTTTTGTTCCTTACAGAGAACAAAGTAAAAGTCTCTTTTTAGGTGACTGGCCCAGAGTATATCAGGAGAGAAGTCCCTTATCTTTTTAAAGAAACAGAACAAATATTTTTCTTCAGACAAAAGAGATACTGTGCAGTTGTTTTGGTCCCTCTGACTTCTTGCCATGAGTCGGTCAGACTTTCTCTTGTTTGAACTTTTAGTGTGTTTAGGTTCTGGGGAATTGATCTACAAGCTCTTTGTTAACCTGAGCAAATAGTTTTTTAGCATTTTCGGATAACTTGTATTTGTAGCAGTTCTTTCCTCTTCTGACTTTGTAGGAACTTCAGGTTGCTTTACAGTTTCATATTTGTGACCTATATTTTCTTCTTTCTTAAGTTACACGGAGTCAGCAGGTCAGATTGTTGTTGTTTTTCTTAGGAATTGGGCTGCTACAGTTTCCATCCCGTGTTACAAGATTACAAATAATTTAAATGTATTTCTTGGAACATACTCTTATGTTGTGCTGTTAGGACAAGGGGCCCTCAATGCATGTTACTTCTGAACATCTCTGTATTAAGTAAAAGAGTTACAAGATAAAAATACTACAGATTCAATAAAGGGTCAAGGAACTATATTTTGGGCAACTTCCTGGTTGGTAATTGTTCAGTTGTGGCCGTTTTACTAACAGACTTTTGATCCAAAACTTTAATGAGTTGTCAGGGTCACCAAGGATATTATTTCCTTCCAGTTAGTTCATTCTTAGTATCTTCAGGAATTTGGCCTGCAGCATGTTACATTACCGTCTAATGAGGGGTGAGAACTGTGGCATGAGGATGCAGGCTTTGTCACTCCTTAGGGCCGTTTTGTACATGTGACTAGGAACTTGGAGTATTGTCTAACTGTAGAATCTTTTTGACTTTTTACATTTTAATATCCTAGGGAGAAAACACATTTTCAACAAATGGCTATAAATATTTTCCTTCCCTCTGTATTTGGATACATCTTTTCAGATTGCAGCCTTTCATGACATATAAAGAGCCAATTGTTGCTTGACTTGTTACAGTATGCATTTATTACTTTTTAAATTTGAAAAGTGAAAAGAACACTCCTTCACTAATTATTAAGTCATTTGTAGTCCTACCACCCAAAGATGACAACCACGGTTAATACTTTTTTGTTTCTTTTGTATCATTTTCCCAAGATCTTAAAACATAATTGGGAGTATACTGTGTATATAATTTTGTATTTTGCTTTTTTTAACTTAGCATATATTTTTTCACATCAGTAAATATTTAAATGAATAAATTTTGAGTAGGCAACACATTTACTTATTTCAAAATTAAAGTGACATAAAAACATGGAGAAGTTTTGCTTCTTTTTCTTCTTTCATCTTGTCCTTTCAGTACCCAGTACGTCACCGTAATTTCTCCACTTATATAAACGGTAACATCACTGTATGCCTTGCTTTTTTCCCTCTTAACAATACATCTTGTTATCAGTATCCAGAGAATCTTTCTCACCATAGATGAGTCATGTATTCTCTTTAAGAGGGACACTTGGGTTGTCCCCAGTTTTTGCTATTACAAAACAATAAGATGGAAGTAGTAATTAAAGGGAAAAATTAAGCATTGCCCTGCCTCAGTTATTAAGGGAAAGTTCTATTCAGAAAAATGCCAGCAAACAATCGTAGAAATAATGATGAAATTAGAAATCAACATTTTTCAGCTCCCAAATGAAATAACTCAAGAAGGAGTCAGTGAACACTAAACCATTAAGCAAAAGGTTGAAGAGGAACAGAATATTCACACAGTGCCAAATATTAGGTACAGATTGGAAATATACCTTTATATGGAGAGTTCTGAGTTTTACCAGCTCAGTCAAGTGATCATATTTTGTCAAGTGATTATATAATTTACCAGGTCTCACTAAGAGGAGTGGTCCGAGGATATGTGCTCCTGATGTGCTGCCACATGTAGCCATCACGAGATACATAGCATGGCCTGTAAAGCATTCTTGTTAAAAGCATTTCACCTAAATCTAGTCAGGATTTTATATCCAACCTTCTGTTGCTTGGAAATACAGATAGAGGTGCAACTAACTGGTACTCTGAGGAAACAGTAAACAAAACTAGAATGTAAGACCTTCTATAAGCCAGCTGTCATGTTTTCTAAAAAAGCTAGTATCGTAAGTATATAAACACAAGTAATCAAAATAAAACCTGGAGACCATTTTGGAATAAGAGAGACTAAAGACATAAAACATGCAAATTCATTGCTTGACCCTCGTTTGGATTTTTTTAAAAGCCAACGATTAAAGATAATTTTGGGAGGCCCCCCTGGTGGCGCAAGGGGTTAAGTTTCAGCACTATGAAGCTATCCCTGTGGCATAAGTTCGACCCCTAGCCAAGGAACTGACCCACATGGCATAAGTTTGACCCCCAGCCAAGGAGGTGGGGGAGCAACAGACCTCTCCTGTCTCACCCACTACTCCCCTCAGCAGTGTATTTCAGTAGATCTGCCTGTTCTGCTCCCCACTCCATCTCTGGTGAATCCTCTAACCCCCCCATACCTACACCCGAGCTCCTGTATGCATAGATAAAATAAATCTTAAAAAAAAAAACACACAACAAATTTGAACAGTCGGGGAAATTTGAATAAGGCCTGGGTATTAGATAATAGTAGGTGTGATGATGGTATTGTGGTTATTGGGCAGAATGTCCCTGTTCCTGGGAGGTACACAGCGAAGTTGTAGGGTTAGAATGTCTTGACGTCTACTGAAATGGCTCAGAAGAAAACAGAAAACAACCTATATATAGCCATATCTTCATCCACAGAGATAAAGCAAATTTAACAAATATAGTAATTTTTGAGTCTCAAGTAGTGAATAATGAAGCCATATGTTTATTTTAGTATTTTTCAACTTTGAGTTGAAGAAACTATGCTGAAATTTACAACATTTACATACATATTCTCTTAAACATTTTATTAAGCCACATATCCCATTGTATAGAGGAGCTGCAATTCTATTTGTATTTTACTGCTAGCTAATGTTTCAGTAGAATTTTTGTTTATTTTGGGATATAATTTTATTCTCTTAAGGCTTGGGTGGATAAGAAAAAGGACCTGAATTTCCCCCCCTTTCTCTTTCCTCCCCTCTGGAATGGAAAAAGAGTATTGGAATGTGGCCCTAAAGTTCTTAGGCACTTACTTTAGGTAGGATGTAGAATTGAAGCTGCTGTATAAGAGTCATACCTCTAGTAAGAACATTTTAAGTGGTTACCTGTCCTTCAGTTTGGAGGCTGCTTAAGTGAAAATGAGGGGTGCCAGCAACTAGGGAGGCCATGTAGCACAGAAGGGGGAAGGTAGGCATTTTGCTTTATTTCTGACAAGTTGTTTAGAGCTTTCTTTTAGTAGCAGAAGTTCTTCTGCCTGGTAAAGCAACAGTAATAGAATGATCGCTTTAGAGAGTGGTCTGTTTTTTCATACGAAGCTGAGCTATGGAGGATGTGAGAGTTTTGGAAGAAGGGTCTTTTCTGAGAAAATATCATTAAATATGGAAAGAATGCTTTCTTCTTTGAGCTAGAATGACATTTGCAGTAGAAGCTTTTCTAATTGCAGAATAGATATTCTTTGACATATTACTCTCTGTACCTTAGATTTCCATGAAGACAGCTTACAAGGACGTGAATGGCCTCAGTTTAGCTGTATTGGTGTGCGGAGCTATTGTTTGCTCCTTCTTTTCCTGTGACTGGTGTGACAGTGGCCCCTGAACACTATGAAGGTTGTTCCAGAGAAGAATGCTGTCCGGATACTCTGGGGACGAGAAAGGGGCACTCGGGCCTTTGGAGCTCAGCGTCTTCTGCAGGAGTTGGTGGAAGATAAAACCCGGTGGATGAAATGGGAGGGCAAGGTAAGAAAAATGTTTTGTTTAAAACAAACAATTAAAAATCAGAGACATCCTGCAGGGGAGGAGGAGGCAGAGGGTTTAGAAGAAGGGCGGGAGGAGCATAGGGGACTGTGGTGATGGTGCACGGGTGCATTGGTGAAGGAAATTCAATGGGGACTACACCTAGGTGGTGGTAGGGATGCAAATATTGTTTTAAAATGAACAATAATTAAAAAATAAAAAAAAGAAAAATGTTTTGTTTTTTCTTTTGACATAGGATTTGTAGGGGTTATAGTAGAATGGGTCTCAGAATGGGTTAATGACATAGAATTTGGCATGTAACTTACTTTGTGTAGGACAAGATAAATCTAACTTGGGAAATACTTCATAAATGTGGAAGAATTTATGGGCTAGAGGTATCTTTTTCCTAAAGGTAATTTAGATTTGTCTCTCTCAAGTTGTAAGTTAGTCATTGTCTCCAATTTTTAAGCTTACACTGTGAATACTAATCCAGAATAGTTTATATCTTTTGAGAGATCTTTTGAACCATAGTTTATAAATAATGTATTTAACTATTTTCTTTTCCTGCTAGAGAGTAGAACTGCCGGATAGTCCACGATCTACCTTTTTACTGGCCTTCAGCCCAGACAGGTACCTACTACTCATATATAACTTGACCTAAGACTTGTGACAACATTACTTTCTGTAATTAGGCCTAGCTTAATCTTGTAGTTAGATCCCTAAAGACTCTAAGTCACCATGTGTGAACTTTGTCAGTGTTTCAAAAAAGGAGAGAACTAATGGGAATAAGTAAAGGAAATTATGAACATTGAAGATCAAAACTTGTAGTTTTTTTTTTTAAGAAGAACTGGGGTGTAGAGGTGTGGGGGTGAGAGGATTTACCAGAGACAGAATGGGGAGCAGAACAGGCAGATCTACTGAAATATACTGCTGAAGGGAGCAGCAGGCGAGACAGGAGAGGTCTGCTGCACCATGTGGGTTAGCTCCCTGGCCGGGGATTGAACTCAAGCTATAGCAGTGATAGCGAGAGACTTAACCCCTAGGTCACCAGGGAGGCCCTAAAACTTACAGTTTTTAAATAATAATCGTTTACCTGTGTAATATAGGCCATCAGTGGTGTGATAGTTTTTCCAGCTGGAAAAAATAAATCTCTGAAGGTGATATGGGGGATAGAGTGGAGAATCCAATAGCTTTTAGTGGCTTGTAGATATGCTGCCTAATACCCAAGGTATAGTTTCTTTCATGCTGGGATGGGGAATCAATTTTCTATGTCGTGAAAAACGGAATAAGTATGTTATCCTCTCACATGCTTCATAGTCACTTCATACCCTTTGATTCCATAGGACTCTCTTGGCCTCCACGCATGTGAATCATAATATCTATATCACGGAGGTGAAGACTGGCAAGTGTGTTCATTCTTTGATTGGACACCGCCGTACTCCATGGTGTGTCACTTTTCATCCCACCATCTCAGGCCTTATTGCTTCTGGCTGCCTAGATGGAGAGGTTAGGATTTGGGATTTACATGTAAGTATTTTTTTTTCTTCGGTATTCAGAAGCAGAGACTTGTTTATCAATGCCTTCTTAACTCTGAAGGAGAGACTAGTCAGGTTCATAGGACTACATCTGGGTAATGGTAGTCTTTGCCCACTGAACTGATAGGAAATCTAGCCAGCAGTCCTTTATTTTAAGAGGAGCACCCTGTTGAACTATCCTCCACCTGCACATTGTGACAGAGTACAGGAGGCTCTCAGATATGTTCAGAATGGGGTTCTGTTCTCTTAGAGCAAGGACTATATTATCCTCTAAGCATGATGCTTCTGGAACTGGTGACTGGCTAGTGGGTTGTTGTGCACTGCACCATGTCATGCACCACTTGTGAGGCTTCACAGGCTTCAGCAACAGGAACTGTGCAGATAGATGCTCATTGCTTATGAGTTGTAGATGACTTGGAGAATTAGCTGACAGTAATATTTTTCCTATGAATTGGTGATTCATGCAGATCACTGATTTTCAGCATCACTTTACAGAGGACTTATTTAAGTATGCCCTACAAGAAGTCAGTTTCCCTTAAAATTGACATCCCAGCCTTCTGGCAGCTTGTAACTGGAGAATATTTGGGATTGGTTCATTTGTAGGGTGGCAGTGAAAGCTGGTTCACAGATAGCAACAATGCCATTGCTTCTCTGGCTTTCCACCCTACGGCTCAGCTCCTGCTGATTGCCACTGCCAACGAGATCCACTTCTGGGATTGGAGTCGGCGGGAGCCCTTTGCTGTGGTGAAGACAGCTAGTGAGATGGAACGGGTCCGGTGAGTGCTCTGCTCAACAGTCATATCTGGCGTAGGACTAACATCTGAGGACACTTACACCTGCTGTCACCTCAGGAGATAGATTGTTATCCTGCCCAGGATAGGTGGTTGCCTCTAAGGCTTTTTCTACTTTTTAAATAGCTGAGCAGTCAGCTGGGAAACAGTTCATTGTGTTTATTTTAGCTGTTCCTTACTGACCTCATCTTTGTTCTCTGTAAGTCAGGGTTATTAGAACCTTTTTTGGGTTCAAAGCTATCTGGGTCTGGAATAGAACACTTTTGGGAAACCTGAAAGGTGTTCAGGTGGTATTTTAAATAACTTGGTAGATGATTGCTCATCCCTGGTTGTCTGTATTTAACAAACTAGAAGATGGAGAGGTAAGTATGTATCAGACTGGCTAATTGATACTTACCTAGCTGGCAAGATCCAAAACACACCTTGCCTGAATTTCAGTCAGTGCGTTATCAACTCTTGGTCTTGTAGTTGGATATAAGTAAATTTTCTAGTCTCACTCAGTATCACTTGATGCTGAGACCATTTGCTGTCACTAGAACTCATGCTTCTTGCTAGTGCAGCCACTTACGTGACAGAGTATCTAACCTGTGGAGAGTATGGGCACGTCCTGTGCTTCCCTGTTAGGATGGGCTCCTTGAGGTGAGCAGAGATTTGCTTAAATGTAGCTGCTTCCTGGAGTGGAAGTTTAGGTGTTTTTTGACATTACTGTATTTCTGATACATATTCCCTTGTTCTGGCAGTTGGAGGTAAGGAGGTAATAAGAATTATGGAGCCTTGTTATTTTAATCTCTGAAAGTTTGAAAGGCTCTAGCATGAGTGAGTACCTGAGTAATCTCACAATTACTAGTAACGATTGCTATAAATTTTAACACAGGTTTCCTCTTCTCAGTTAACATAATTTCTCTATATGTTTCCTTGTCTCTTCTTTGTTTACAGTCTGGTGAGATTTGATCCTCTTGGACACTACTTACTCACAGCAATTGTTAACCCCTCCAATCAGCAGGTAAGTTAGCCAGCAGTTCAACTCCACCTAAACTGTGAGTTCTTTTCTAAACTGGTGCTTTAATTCAGATTATATTGCACTTTAATTCTCAATGCCCAAGTATTTCTTTCCAGTCAAGATTTAAAACTGACTTCAGACTGTATTCGGAGTTCCAGCAATAATCTTGACAGGGCAGTTAATTTTGAACCTTCCCTCACACCCAGCCCCCAGTGATGATCTCATTAGAAGTAACCAGGGAATGGTGGATAGCTTGTCATTCCGTGTGCCTCTGGCTGGTTGACATTTTGCTTCCCCTCACTGGCTTCATGTTGTGGAGATGCCGTTTCTAAGAGAATTGGTTTGCCAGCTGTACACATTCAGAAATGCTGCTAATTGGAAGTGAATAATTTTTTTTTTTTAAAGATTATGATTTTTCTTTTGCTGTGTTTTTTTTTTTTAAGATTTTATTTTATTTATTTATACAAGCACTGGGGTACAGTCAGAAGCGGGGGGGCGGGGGGTGAGAGAATTTACCAGAGCCAGAGCGGAGAGCAGAACAGCCAGACTGACGAAGTACACTGCTGAGGGGAGCAGCGGGTGGCAGGAGAGGTTTGCGCGCCAGGAAGTGAATAATTTAATACCATATGATGATTCTGAATCTAGCCAGTTTTCAGTGCTTCACGGGTAGGTAGTTATTACCTATCTCTATAGGTTGTTTTCCTTGGATGATTATAAGAAGTTAGTTTGTCTTGATTTACCTGGAGTTTCTACTTAACTGCCTTGCTCCCTGCTTCACCTTGGTCCACGTTACAGGGTGATGACGAACCAGAGATCCCCATAGATGGAACAGAATTATCCCACTACCGTCAGCGTGCCCTCCTGCAATCACAGCCAGTTCGCCGGACGCCTCTTCTTCACAATTTCCTGCACATGCTGTCCTCCCGCTCCTCTGGCATCCAGGTGGGAGAGCAAAGCACAGTGCAAGATTCTGCTACCCCCTCACCCCCACCGCCTCCCCCTCAGCCCTCCACGGAGCGCCCCAGGACTTCCGCTTACATCAGGCTCCGACAGCGGGTCAGTTACCCCACAGCTGAGTGCTGCCAGCACCTTGGGATCCTGTGCCTTTGCAGCCGCTGCTCTGGCACTCGAGTTCCTTCCCTCTTGCCACACCAGGACAGTGTCCCCCCTGCTTCTGCCAGGGCTACTACCCCTTCCTTTTCTTTTGTACAGACCGAGCCCTTCCATCCCCCGGAGCAGGCCTCATCAACGCAGCAGGACCAGGGCCTCCTGAACCGGCCGTCTGCCTTCAGTACAGTCCAGAGCAGCACTGCCGGCAACACGCTCCGCAACCTCAGTCTAGGTCCCACCCGCCGCTCTTTGGGAGGCCCTCTGTCTAGCCACCCTTCTAGATATCACCGAGAAATAGCTCCTGGACTTACAGGATCTGAGTGGACCCGGACAGAGCTCA